CACACTAACACACAGAAGCGCACCCTTCAGTCACTCATCTGATCAATACGAAGCTGGGTCTGTCAGCGTGAGGTTTGTCGTGAAATCTTTGCTAACCCAATTAAGTAAACTAACTCAATTAGCAGAGCCCCTGAACTGTATTAACTTGACTCGCAGTGGTAGACGCACAAACCTCCTTGGGATCAAAAATGCAAGGCGAGCGAGTCAGAAACTGTAGTAAGGCCTGCAAAATAGAATGCTGATGTGGTGTTTAGGTCTATTCTGGTGTTTTACTGTAGGACAACACAGGGTTGCTCTGATTGTTTTTATTCAGCATCCTGTTGATGTGTAAAAGAAGTCAAAGTGATGTCATGAGGTCAAAAAAAGCATTTAAGCAAGGTTTGAGTTTGATGGTTCTTGTAATGTGAGGTGTTGTTTAGTTATACCAATTAAAAAACATTTTTATTGTCACCTAGAAACAAGACTGTCCTTTAAAAAAAAAAACTCCAAAGTGCAGTCTAAATTGACAAATAGCAGATTAAGAGCATTGTTTATTTCAGTGTTGTAGATTTTGTTGGATGAGAAACGAGAACCTATCAATAACTGTGATTATCAATTTAAATGTTTGTTTGAACCTTTTATGGAAATACAAGTCTGCTAGTAATTTCAACGAACAGTTTCCATCTTAAAATCAGGTTCTTTGGAAATATTGTGAATAATAAACATCTTACCTGTTGTAGCTAGCGTGGTAAAAACAGTTTGGGGTAGGGCTGGACAATAATTCGATATCGATATTTGTCGTGATATCCTTTTATTCAATAACGGTGATGTGAGTTTTAAGCACATTTTCAATATTTTGATATGATTACAGCGTTTCACTGACACATTTATTTTTCTGTTCGGGTTGAAGCGGCCGCGTCAGTTTCAACTCGGACAGAAAAAGGTGTGACACAACTATGTAAGTGTGTGGTGACAGATGTTATGAAGAGCTCGAGTCCAGAAGGTGAAGGTGTTAGCGGTAGCAGGCTAGGCTAATCTTGAACGCACATTAAGTTTTTTCTTCAAAATGAGTGTCCATGACCGTCAGAATGTGACTGAACAAGCTTTCACAAGTGAAGGGAAGGCAGTTGACATAATTGATGAGAGGAAAGACTAATTCGGTGGTGTGGAAGTGGTTCGGCTGTCTAAGATCTGATAAACTGCAGGTTTCAGTCAGTGTGCTGCAAAATGTGTCGGAGAGTCGATCCAACTAGCGGTGGGAACACATTTAACTTGTTCCATTTGATAGAATATGCTGAGAGTCAGAAGAAGAAGCACAATAAAAGTCTGAGCCAACGTGTCCCTGAAACATCACCCCCAGCTGTATCAAAAGAGAAACACAGACGGTTGCTGCATGGGTTGTTAGGTTATGTTGTTGTTTAAAGTTAAAACTATTAATACTGACAAAGTTGAGAGTTTTACGTTTATTTGACGGTGATTTCAAATTCCTTTGAAGGCTAAATACAAATAAAAGGTGAACATTAATTTATTTGTACAGTTTTTCGGAGGCTTTTATATTGTTTATATCAATATTGAATTATATCGTTATCGACTGAAATTAAGAAATATATCATGATAATAGTTTTGGCCATATCGTCCAGCCCTAATATATATATTTATACATAAAAGTGCCTTTGATATTGGTGAGTTATTTCGATGGAATTGCCGATGTCCGATATTTAACTTTATCGCTAATATCGACCGATACCGATAGCATGCCGATAATATCTGGCATCCCTAATATATACTATGACACACACATCTCATGCGCTCCTATTTTATGTATTGTAAGTATTAGGAACCTGTGAGGGGAGGAAGGAGAGCGCTCGTTCAATCAGCAGACGCATCAGCCTCTTAGAGTAGAAGATGAACTCATCACGGCTGGTTTCCTTGTTTCTAAAGAAGTTCAGGAAAGAAGAAGTCAAGTTTTTTCAGATGGCAGCAGTTTTTTTTAGTTTTGAAATCTTAGACAAACAAAAGAGGCTCTTCGGTTTTACCTGATGATCGTGTGCATGCCCCTGACTTGGGGGGTGCTCTCCAGAACGCTGAGGGTTTGGGGGAGGGGTTGGGCCTGGTGTGCAGAAGCCAGGGCTGCCCTGTAACCACGGCAACAAATAGCAGCGCGGGGGTGGCAAAGGGTGAGAACAGTAAAATAAAGAAAGAAAAAGATGGACAAAGACTTGAATGCAACAAGAATGGATACGAGTGCAATTAGTGCTTGTGCAGAAAGTGAGCAGGTTCACACAGAGGCGTGCTCATACGCTAAAAACAATCAGCTACAAACACAGAAAACAGACGTGCAGAAAGATGAATAAAATGATTCATTTTCCACAACATGTAGAGCAAAGGTGAAAATGATTGTGTGGCCACTGTAACAGAATCAAACATGGGGAAAAGACAGAAGCAGAAAATTTCACAGCACACGGTGGGCCGACGTTATCTGAACATCTGAACAGCACAGAGACCATGATCATGGAAAAAAGACCTAAACTATTTGACTCTTCCTACCAAACAGTTTGGAAAAACATACAAATTCTGATGACTAATACAGATACATCTCAGAAAATTAGAATATCATGAAAAAGTTCAATTTTTTTCGTCAGTCACTTCAGAAAGTGAAAGTCATATGTTAAGAGTGAAATATTTCACACCTTTATTTCTTGTCATTTTGATGATTGTGGCTTAAAAAATGATGGAAAAACCAAAATTCAGTATATCAGAAAATGAGAATATTGTGATAAAGATCCTTAAAAAAAGTTTTATTTTTATCATGTTCAGTCTAAAGCAGAACAACCTGTGGGCCATGGAGCCCTGAGGAACAGCAGAGACCGCACAGACCGAATGGCCTCCTTTGACTAGATGTTGGGGTTGATGCCTTTGTCCGTGGTGGAACACTGGTTCCCCGGAGAATTGCGGTTCTGTTGGGGTGTAGCGGAACTGATTGAATGACAGGCGCTTTCGGTTGTAGCGTGAGCGAGACTTGAAAGCGTACACCTCATCCTGGTCCTCTACAGGAGTGAAGACGGGCTCGTCCTCACCGCTGGTATCAGAGGAGGAGCTCCAGCTCTCCTCTGTAGACTGGTAAGGGCCGCTGCTGCCTGGAGCCCCATGATGACGGTCCTGAGGGCCGCTCTGCCCTTGGACCAAGTAAGAAGAGCCACCGTCACCCCCCAGCAGTGCTGGTGCCGCTGTAGAAGATACTGTATCTGCCAGAACCTCTGAACGGTCCTGCAGGTTTCTCATCACTTGTCTTGTAGAGGTCATATCCAGAAGATGAAACGGACCACCACCAGGGCTGTCCACCTCCACTGCCTTGTTGTTGAAGATAGCAGGTGATGCTTCCAAGCAGCAGGAAATAAATCCACAACACCCTCATCTTGCTGCAGGTAAAGATGACAGACAGCACCAACACAAAGCTCAGAGCTGCTGGCTGATGAAGATCCATACTGGAAAGTCCTGCACAGTATGCGCAGACGAATCCTCGACAGGAGCTCCAAATGTCACATTCCTCAAGTCGAGCCACTCCTGAACCAGAGACAATGTCAGAAGTGTCTTACCTGCTGAGAACTTCAGGAAACACCAGCAGGTGACTTGGCCCCAAACCATGACTGACGGTGTAAACGTCACACTGGACTTCAAGCAACGTGGATTCTGTTCCTCTCCACTCTTCCTCCAGACTCTGGGACCTTGATTTCCAAATGACATGAAAATTTACTTTTATCTGAAAAGAGGACGTTGAACTGAGCAACAGTCCAGTTATTTGTCTCCTGCAGGTAAGACGCTTCTGACATCTCTGGTTCAGGCGTGGCAGGACTTGAGGAGTGAGACATTTGTAGTTCATGTCCAGGAGTTCATCAGCTTATCAGGATGTGACACCAGTTTACAATATTGAACCTCGTCACAATATTCTAATTTTCTGAGACACTGAGTTTTGGGTTTTCATTATCTGTAAAGACATTAAAATGACAAGAGGAGCTTTAAATATTTCACTCTATGTGTAATAAATCTGTATAAGTTCTGAGTTTCACTTTCTAAAGTGATTAAAAAAAATAATGAACTTTTTCACAATATTCTAATGTTTTTAGCTGCGCCTGTATACATAAGATCCCAAAGTTTTTCATGATAGGTCTCTTGTTTCTTTACAAATAAACATTAGTTCTGAGTCGGTTTTGTCTCAAGTCTTTAGAAAAACAAGCACACCATTACGTATAATCAGTGATGCAAACATGTCGACACTACAGTATCAACAGGTTACAGATTAGCCAAATGCAGGAAAAAAACTGTAGCAAAACTGCTCACATATCCCAGCGAAGTTTCCTCTAAGGGGGTGGGAAGGTTTTTTTTGGACAGAACATAATCACGACAGAGGGGACACAGAGAAGACAACAGATAAGAGAAGAGACACAACATCAGGTGGATGATTAGATGAAGTGTAAAGTGCGACAGCTGAGGCTCCGTCACATCAAATACGCACAGGAAGTAGTGAAAACTGTCACTTTTGGAAATAATATTACTTTTTGCTGTCACTTATCTGTGACAAGACCTCGAGTAAACAGACTTTAGAAAAGAGAAGAACGATCAGGTCTGGGATCAGATTTGATATGTACACACGAGCATCCACTGCGTGTACGCGTGGGAGGTGCACACAAAGCCATCGTGCGGCTGTCACTCTTTCAACATGTAGAGCAGTGAAGGTTGGTATTTCAGCTCACAGGCCCCAGCACATCCTGTGTCTAAAGAGAGACACCGAGCTCACTTCCTCTCTCTGTCTGTCTCACATGCTGTGGCCGACATTCAATGGAAACAACTCGGTGTTTTGTAGTAGGGTATTGGAAACTTTCTCTGTGGCTGAGGTGTGTGATAATCAACAATAGCTGCAGCGAGCACTTCCTCTCACGCTCGTTCTGTTAGACTCGCCCTCTGTCGCTCTCTCTCTTGTTGCCACCCACTGAAAAGAGGGGTCAGTTACTCGACTCGTGGGTGTATTTTTAGACACAGGAGGCAGGAAGAGTGTGAGGTGTCATTTCTGTAAAACTTTGAGATGGAAAACCAACACCTTAATGAGTGCTGGCTGCACCACCAAACTTGAAAACTTTTCTCCAGACTCCAGTTTTCATAGAAACTTGTGTTTCGTCACTCGTTCTGACCAATGAACGTTGAGTTTACAGATGGATAATTGTGCCGTGTCATGGCAGCCAGCAGAAAGAAAGGTGGGTTTTGCTCAACTCTTTGTCTCTCCATTTCCAGTAAGAAGCTGAAGCAGGTGACGGACTGGGAGGATGAAGAGGAGAGAATGATAGGCAGGATGAAGGCCACTCTACCTGACGCTGAGCTCGCGCTGTGAGCAACAGAGGGTGAGAGGGGGGAGAGGGTGAGAGAGCAATCCATCAGCAGCTTGTGTGACACTGTGCGTGTGTTGTACTCAACACAAAGCAAACTACACTCACCACAGACAAGCATGTGCCTCTGGTGACTGGTTAATAGTACAGGTTGTACAACAAAACCAACATTTAGTTTGATGTGTCATCTTCTGGTGAATTAACGCTCACTGAGCTCAGGGATCACAGACTGTATTAAATACAGAGGCAGCCATGCTACAGGACACGCCTGCTGGGTAACTTTTCAAATCTGTCATTGTGTGAGCGGCAGATTTAAAATAAAAAGGTGACCAAGCAGCCGCAAAGAAACCAAAGTGCACTAAACATTAGCATGTCAGACAGTTTTAGCTTCTCTCCATTGGCTCCCTGTCAAATCCAGAATTGAATTCAAAATCTTACTTCTAACCTACAAAGCCCTCAACAACCTAGGTCCATCTTATATTACAGATCTTATTGTTCCATATTTTCCTAACAGAGCACTTTGCTCTCAGACTGCAGTCTTACTCATGGTTCCTAGAGTTTCCAAAAGCAGAAATGGAGGAAGATCTTCCAGTTATCAGGCTCCTCGCTTGTGGAACCAATTTCCAGTTTCTGTCCGTGAGGCTGACACATTGTCCAGTTTTAAGACTGGGATTAAGACTTTTCTTTTTGATAAATCCAATAGTTAGGGTTGGATTGTTATGCTGCCTTAAGCTTAGACTACTAGAGGACAAATTGACCTCATTTCCTGAAATGAATTGACACAATTAAATAGTTTTCATTTGATATTATTTCTATCTTAACATGTGATTCTTGACCTGCCATTGTGTCTCTATTCCTCTTTCCTGTTCCTCTCAAACTCAGCCAGTTGAAGCAGATGGACGCTTGTCCTGAGCCTGGTTCTGCTAAAGGTTTCTTTCTCTGAGGGAGATTTTCCTTTCCACTGTCACCTTCATGCTTGCTCAAGATCAGTCCTGTGATGGAGTTAAACTCAAAGCAGTCTGCTCCTCAAATACATAATGTTAAATTATTATTTTTTATATTTGAATGTTTCTGTTCAGTGTCCTGAGATGACTTCTGATGTGACTTAGTGCTATAAATAAACTGAATTGAATTGAAACGGACATTTTTTTGGATATGGACAGCATGGCATGTTAGTTTGCCTGCCACCATGAAATGTGGGTGATAGTGTAATTGCCCGAGTGTGTGTTCACTTCATTTGTTGATCTGGTAACAAAAGATTAAATGAACCACTGGACACATTTTAATAAAATGATCAAAAAGTCATAATTGGATGTCGGTCTACATCTACAATAGATAAACTTTTGAAGTCAAGATGGCCGCCACAGCTAATCAACTTCAGCAAACAAAGACATTGCTTTAACTCCGTCAAATTGTACAGATGTTATGTTACTACTGGGTTTAGTGGGAGCAAGGAGCGTTCCAAGCTAAAAGAGTGCAAGCATGCACGGTAGCATTTGATGTTCTTTACTTCAAATAATGTAAAGTTTTATTTAATAGTTTCCACATTTCACTGTATTTTATATGAAATTTAAAAAGTGAATGGAATGACCTGCCCAGACATACAGAGATAAAAGAGCATTCAGAGCTAATAACAATAAAAATGCTCCTTCTTCTAGTATAAAATGACCACCTCTAGCTTGAAAAGGTAAAATGCAACAAATTAAAACAATCTAATGAAGCTGAGGTTGCTTCCACATATTGTATATATAGTCTATGATTTGTATGGGAAAATCCCAAAAAGTTATGTCTGTAAATTACATTGATATGTGAGAGTACAAAACAGCAGAGGGTCACTAGTGTTTAAACATGGATTTATTTTCAAATGGTTTAATAGATTTGAGCTGCAGAAACTAATAAATAATATTTCTAGTCATCACAATGAAACACACTAATTACATCATATATATCTGAGAGCAAGTTTATATTCCAGGAGCTTGGCAGGCAGAATAATCAGATAATGAATATACATTCTGATAATTATTTTTTCTACAGCTGCGTCAAATCTAACGGTTTTAAATGATATAAAAACTGTGCTAACACATCCCGTGGTCCAGATTATAGTTAGTGGAGTAACTAACTAGTGCCAGAGGACTCAATGTTCACTTAACATGTGCAATGTCATTTCTATCCACTAGAGGGAGCGACAAGGCTGGCAGGAAAACTACAGAGCTCTGAGCAAACCCACTAGAAGTTTAATTAATCTAGCAGACATAAAAGTTGGAAGTTTGGTTGGAAACAAAAGCACCGCAAGTCTACTACAACATACTGCAGTGTGTTTGGTGACCTTTCTTACCTCCTCCAGCTGACTGTGGACATGCTGCACAATCAGATCGATGGCTACCATGTTGCCACCACCTAACAGGATGATATATGGACAAAATAAACAAAATATGTAATATTACAGGGGTTAGAAAACAACAAAACTTAATCTGATTAATATCAAAACATGGCTGTAGGATGTTTACAGCTGCAAAGTTTATTAAAACTATTTCTTTACCACTGCTGTCCTGACTTGTAGTTATGTAACTCTGCTAAATGCTAAAATGTTTGCACGCACCACGTGGCACCACAAGATCCGCCAGGCGCATGGTGGGTTCAATGTACTGCTCAAAAGCCGGCTTCACAAACTTGTTGTACTGTTTGATGACACCCTCGATGTCTCGGCCTCTTTCTGTGATGTCCCGCCTCAACCGACGCACCAAACGGATGTCGGAGTCCGTTTCCACAAAGATCTTCATGTCCAACAGCTGACGGGAGAAACAGAAAGTTCATGAAACTTGATGTTACACAGGCACAAGAAGCTGGCTGAGTTCAGTAACTGATCTGTCTGAAACAAACCTATCTGGGTAGATTTCAAACTCATTTCACAACTATAAATATTTGACAACAAAGTCCATGCTCAATAACCCAGGTATACAATCCAACATTTTTCAGTCAGGTCAAATGTTGGATTGTATACCTGGATTATTGAGCATGGACTTTGTTGTTTTCAACCAGTTTGACAAGACAAGGAAAAGGGCCATCAATGGAGGAGGGGGCGTACCAAAGAGACCATCTTATCACAAGCAGAACTGGTTTGTTCCACTTTTGAGTAAGCTGTTGGGGGAAGAATCAGTTTTGTTGTGTGTTTCCTTGACTGATGAAGTCTTCTGGATCAAAAGCGAAACATTTCAGCACACAAAAAAAAAAAAACTGTCCAGATGACCTGACTGAAAAATGTTGGATATAAATATTTGAGTTTACTTTTTTAAACAATAAGAGTACTCTCCAAATAATTTGTCAAATAAATTACAAAATGGCTGCATTTCAATTTAAATACTGAGAACATATCACAATGTTGGAGCTTAAACTGTGACAAAAAAAACAAACAAACAACTGATATTTTGATGTGAAAACAAATGAAAATGTTGACAATTAATTAAACTAAAAACATCACCTTTATTAGTTTTAAGTTAAGAAACCAGAAGTGAAATATCTGTCAATCAATTTGAGGCAAAGTGGGCCAAATGAACGAGCATACTTTATCTAATAAATACGCAACGTTTAATAGCTGAAAAATAAACCTTTGTTAGCTCGAATGTGAGCAAACCATGGAGTACTAATACTACGTGTTTCATAATAAAACTTAATAAACCCCAGCTGACCCCCTTCTGTTTCAACTGATGAACATATGATATAAAAAGAGAACATAATTTACCTTAAGTAGTTCTTTATCTGCAAAGGACATGATTCCCTCAAAGATGATAACACTGGCTCCATATACAGTTTTCTGACATGAACACACATTAACAGTAAAGTGTCCATATTAGTAAGTAATATTAGTAAAAGAGCAAAGTACTAATAAAGATGTGTGTAGTGCAAACACAACACTACATGTCGGGGTGTGAGCGTTCATTCTTACCCAGTCCTTCTGCCTCCCATGAGTTGTGAAGTCATACACTGGGATTTTCACACTTTTGCCCTGTTTAAGTTTGCGCAAGGTGTGAGTCAGCAAATGAAAGTCGAAGGCATCGGGGTGGTCAAAGTTATAGTTGTTGCTGGCGGCCTGGATCTGCTCCTCTGGAGACAGAACCTGAGGAAACATAAAACAACATTATTTTCCGAGCAAACTTCTTCAAATCACTCTCTTTCTTGCAAAGACACGTTTTTTAATTAAATAAAACAATAAATCTAGCAACATTGTGAAAAAGCATTGCAGTACAACATGTTTGGAGGATGGAATGTGACCAAATTAAATAAATACATAATACATACATAATTAAATGTATCAAATGTATTAAATGTATAATGACTTAATTATGTATTTAATAATTAAATGTATCATTTAATTATTAAATACATAATTAAATCATTAAATATACAATTAAATTACTAAATACACTGTTAAATAATTAAATGCACCTTTTAAATGATTGCCTAATTTATTTATTTATTTATTTTGTCACCTTCCGCCCTCCACCGACACCATGAAATTCTGTTAACTGTCAGCCTCACTCGTCAAACTCAGTGGGCGGGACTAACCCTAACCCTGACACCTGATTGGCTGCTCCTCACAGCAAGCGAAGACAAATCGACCACAGATAATCGATAAGCCAGAAAATATATTCCAAAAAACTTTAGGAAGCGGTAATTATGTTTACGTGTATTTGGATGAAACCTTTTTTCATCAAACCGAAGCAATGGATTTCACATGCTCAGCATTAGTCCCGCCCACTGAGTTTGATGAGTGAGACTGACAGTTAACATAATTTCATTGTGACACATAGGTCTGTCGCAATAAACAATAAAACAATTAATCACATGATAAATGAAAATTATCAACCTCATTTTCATTTATCAGCTTTATTGTTTTTTCGTCTCTCTCTTTCTACTGAAGACACTGGATGACAAAAGGCTCCGGTGCTCTTCACTGACACCTCCCTTTCTCTTTTCTTTAAAATCTGTTTTAACCATCCAAAATCATGGTTTTGAATCATTAAAAGTAGCTAAGCTGAGAAGCTAAGCTACAAGCTACTTTTTGAATTTATCATGTCCTAGATGACTGAGAATCTTCACCCGTATACTAACAGGCCGACATCAGGAAAAAACCTCCGTCTTGTCGAAGTAAAAAAATTTCACGGTTGAAACCCGTGCCTTCGTGTAAAAAGTTGATTTTATCTGCAAAAAGAAGCCGAGAACTTGTTTACTGATTTATTTATTTTTTTAATTAAAAGCTTTGTGTGAAAAATGTTATGCTAAAGAGCTCAAACCACACCGAGCGGCTGCCATTTTGAGAACCGAAAAACAGGAATGAGAAATAGCCCATGTCATGTCAAGAGACCTCCCTCCCATTTTTCTTAGAGACAATGCTGCTCACTCATTATCCAACCTTCATTTCAAACAGTCTTATACTGCCATCGAGTGGTCAAAAAAGGTACTACACACAAAAATTAACCTACATTTCTTCTTAAATTTGACATTACTAGGTATTGTCAAATTTCAAACAATGTTGTTTATCGCGATAATTTCTGAGACAATTAATCGCCCAGCAAAATTTGTTATCGTGACAGGTCTAATGGCACACGAGGATGGAATGTGACAAAATTAAATAATTGAATAAATCATGAAATAAATAATTATATCATGAAATAAACTTTGCGTATTTAATAATTTAGTTGTTTATTTAATGATTTAATGATACATTTCATTATTGTGTATTTATTTATTTAATTTTGTGTCCTCCACAGATATGCAGCCCTCAATATTGGTGCATAATATTTGTGAAAACACATGTTGCTGCTGAAGAGCGGTAGAAGTTGGGGGGGCCTAAATTTAGGAGGATATCATGCGCTGCAGTGACGTCTGCAGCGAGCGCTGTAGGTGATCCCTCAGGGTGGCTGACGTGCCGTTTGACAGTTTATGAACACCTCCTTCAGAAGTGAGCTGAAGACATGAGACAAACTGATGTTCCTCGCTCTGTGTGTAAGCTACTACACACAGAAAAGGAGACGCTGAATCATATGAAAAGACATGAACTGTAGAAAGAGGGAAGCAAACGGCTGATCCCTGGTAACGCAGAGTAAAGTGGCTCGATGAAAGCAGCTGGTAGATTTCTCTTATTCCAGGCTGTGACCCACCTCCAACCCTTCAACCTCCACCCCACTGTCAGATTTTGACAAGATTACACAACCACAGTAGGTGGGGGCATGGAGGGGTGAGAAAGATGGCTCTTGTTTCACAGCTCTCCAGCACTATCTCCCCATGTGCAGTGCTTTTCATCCATTCAGTCTTCTCTCTTTTCTTAACCCCGCTCATGACTTTAAAGTGCATTCTATTTTTGCTCTTTTATTCTTTCTTCTGCATTGAGCCTCGCTCTTTTTATACCCGTCCTTAAGGCCAGTGAGTGGGTGGGGGCTCGTAGCCATGCACCCAGAAAACATAAATCTTAGAAAAGGTTTTATTCTTCTGAATCTGAGTACACTTAGATGAGTATAAGAGGTCCAAATTTAACAATGCACAATAATATTTAGTAGGTGTGCAACAGAATATTAACACACACACACACACAGAGAACCTACCTTGTAAAAGGAGTCCATTGAGAGTAATACAACCCAAGGAACATCCAAAGCTTCAATAATTTTCCGGGCTACGGTTGTTTTTCCTGAAGCGCTGCCGCCACAAAGACCTAGACAAAAAACATCTTTGACTAAAACTAATCAAAGTATCTTCTCTTAATGCAAATATACACGCACTGACACCGCACCATGATCTGATGGTGGCTGCAGTAGGCTGTTCTGGTCACAGAGAAGGATAAATCAACTCAGCGGCTCAGTTTTAACACGTTTTATGTCACACTTCCAGGTTTACACATGTTAGATTTAAAAGATCAGATTTTATGTAGATTCAAAGACGTGTTTTTTTAGGTACATTATTCAAATTATAAACGTAAATTAAAGTTTTAGGCTGTTATTTTTAAAAGAACTCCAATCTATTTGTAGAAACTGGAACTTTAGCTCCTGCACTTGATCAAAGTTATAAAAGTGCAAATGTTTTATTTAGCTGCCGTGTTTCTGTAAGCTCTTAGGAAGAACTAGATCATCTCTAAAAGTAGGTAAACAAATGTTACAATCCTACCAGAAGAATTTTCCATTAACATAATAAATACATTGTTATATTACTGTCTTCATACTTATACATTTAAATGGTCATATAAAGTATTTTTAATTGTTTTTAATGTTCTAAAGATGTCATGATAATGTCTAATTACTTAAAATCATGCAGGAGAATTTCCAAACCCTTTACCACACTCTTATTTACAGTATGTTTATAATTCATTCTGTTGCACTGTTGCAGGAAAGTTAAAGGACAGCTTTCCAGGTTGTGAGATGTCGAGGCAGCTCTGCGTAGGAGTGCACTCACTTGTATGTCATACTTCCTGCCTTACTTCCATCGACATTCAGCTCCTCCTGGCCTCCACGTCTCACAACATGCTAATTTCTTTAGGTGTGAATGGCATGAAGAGAACTCTGCTTGTACCATCCTTTCATCTTTACAAAGTCAGATTTTAATGCAACAGATGAAAGTATTTTTAAAGATTGTTTTGCACGCTACAGACTGCTATGTTCAATATCTCCATATAGTCATGCGGACTCACCACTCTGTCTATGAGGAATAAACTGATCAGCACTTATTTTAAATAAAGACATTTCTTATCAAATTATGGGAATTAAATTGATTATTTATATCCTCGGGGTTTGATCTCATTAAGGAGGTAATCATCCTTTTAAATGCACGCTGGCGTTATGTACTGAAATACTGGAAAATTAGAAGAGAGAGTAAATTTATTAACAATAAACATAAACAGGGCGGCACAGTGGCTCAGTTGGTAGAGCGGTTGCCTCTCAGCAAGAAGGTTGCTGGATCGAATCCCAGTTGGGGACATTTCTGGGTGGAGTTTGCATGTTCTCTCTGTGCATGCGTGGGTTTTCTCCAGGTACTCCGGTTTCCTCCCACAGACCCAAAACATGCATGTTAGGCTGATTGGTAACTCTAAATTGTCTCTAGGTGTGAGTGAGAGAGTGAATGGTTGTCCTGTTTGTCTCTATGTGTCCCTGTGATGGACTTGAGTGCTGGACATGGGCACCAGTGACCCCCATGACGCGAAAAGGAAGAAGCAGGTAAATATGATGGATGGATGGATAAACATATACTGTACATATGAGTTGTGAAACAGTGTTGTGCATCTGTTTTTAGCTTCATACCGATGACAAAGGCCTCTTTAGACTGAGTTCCATGTTCATTGTACCAGGGGGGCCGCCCGGCCGTGTAGATGGTTCGTTTGGAGGTGCGCAGTAGTGGGGGCTCAGATTTACACTGGCTGGTGGTCCTTTTCCTGGGAGAAATGCCCATACTGACAGAGGGAAGGAGCCGGTCCAGGGATCCATCACCGCCTCCGCTAAAAATCCAAACACACAAAAAACAAAACTCTTTTGTTTTATAAAGCCAATTTGAATAAAAACCACATCTTATTTTATTCTTCTTGGCTCATAATCCTACCAGCTTTTATCTACATGAAGTTTTTCATTTTGACCTTTGTGTGAGTCAGTTAGAACAAAACAATAATGACAATTAAGTGCATATGTAAATTCAAACATCATCTTTAACTATAGTACAAAATTCACTTTAACTGATCTTGTAAGTTTGGAAAGGTTAAAAGCTACTCATGGCCAACTATGAAACCAAACATACAGAAGAATATCCTGAACTAAATTGAATGGTGCAGTTTGAGTTTATTCCAGTAGTTTCCATCCATCCATCCATCCATTTTCTTTACCCGTTTATTCCATTTTGGGTCACGGGGGTCGCCGGTGCCCATGTCCAGCAATCACTGTGCGAGGGGCGGGGTACACCCTGGACGGGTCGCAAGTCCATCACAGGGCCACATAGAGACAAACGAGACAAACAACCATTCACTCTCTCACTCACACCTAGGGACAATTTAGAGTTACCAATCAGCCTAACATGCATGTTTTTGGTCTGTGGGAGGAAACCGGAGTACCCGGAGAAAACCCACGCATGCACGGAGAGAACATGCAAACTCCACCCAGAAAGGCCCCCGGACCGGGATTTGAACCAGGGACCTGCTCGCTGAGAGGCAGCAGCTCTATCAGTTGCGCCACCGTGCTGCCCAGTAGTTTCCAAATATGCCTAAATATATTAATATGCAATTCCGAAACGTAGGTCCACACTCCATGAACATGCTTGAATCATGTGACTAACCTTCATCAAGCTGACTGAATGAATGTGTTGTAATCGGACAAGCATTGAATCTTGGAGAAGACTTATGTATAAATACAAAAGTGAATTTGCTGCAAAACATGAAAAAAGAAGCAAAAGAAAGATAACTGTCAAGAACTGATAACGGGGTGAAGAAGAGCGGTGGAGCGCCATAAAGACAGAGCTCTGCATTCAGACACATGGCATTTTCAAAACTTTGTGATGTGTATGCTTATCATTTCAATTTAACCTATTATTTTAGAGCCTGGCCGATATATCGATAGGGGCCAATATTTTAGGGCAATATAGACGTTTGGGGATCTATCGGTATCAGTGATAATTGTCCCATTGTTCACCAATATAAACACTTCTGATTTTCACCCCTAAAATGCTGGAAACCAGCCGTAATTGCATAATTGTGCAATGTAGCCAGCAGATGGCACATGAAGACTACTTTCAAGTCATGACCATTCACTTAAGTTTCACTTTCACATTCAGCACAGATGAAGCAGGGAGCAATACTGTGTAGTGTATTTTGCTGAACAGAGCATGGTAAGTTTATTTTAATCTATGTTAAACAAATCAGCAATAATAAATTATCTTCAATCCTCCAACCCGCTTGTCATTAGCTACGAGCCTCTCAAGTTAGCAAGCTAACATTAGTGTTCAGATGCACCACCTTCACGACTTTAGCCCCATTGTCAGTAGTTATAGCAACAGTCCTGTTGGATTGAGCTTCCAGCTTGTGAGGACATCCAGTAACATTATCTTTGTCGTCCTCAATGAACTGTATTGTTTGTCTGAAATATTTACTTTTCTGCAAAGAAAAAAAAAACTGCTGCTGCCGTCAATACTAATTACTCCTTCTCCATATGTGACTGACTGTTGAAACAATTGACAGGGAAGGGCATTTCTTTGTTTAACTTATATTTATGTAAAACACTTGATAACTTTATGGTGAATAGTGGAGGATACAAAATATGACACATTAGGAAGACTGTTTTTATGATCAGTGCACCTCTTGTAAACCTAGTGTGGGAATAGGTATAGCGTATTAGAGTGGATCTGATTTGCGTACCCATTTTTAATTTAAGAACACATCGACTATCTATATGAGAAAATTGTTAATTACTTAATGATTTTTTTGTACTGTCTTAAGAGTTTGCAACAAGTAGCTTTACTGCATGTCAGTATCAGAGTAGCATCAGTGAGTTAAACACATGAGCTCAAAACAACAAGACAGTAAACAAGACTTGATAAATGTTAAAAAGCAGCTCTTCTTAAAAGTTAATGTTTAGTTTTAACATCTGCAAGTGAACTTTGTCCATTCTTCTAGAAAACAAGTGCTGAGGGTAACAAAGTACAGTAGTATGTACGTATATACCGGTAACTGTTTTCTCGTGTAAGGGTCATTAGTCACAAGTTACTTCAACCTGTGTCAATGTGTGAAATGAATCTGTCAGAGACATTCAATATTACCATGTGTCACTGTCAAAACAATATTTTGTGCATGTGTGTGTGTTTTAAAGAAGTTAAATGAAACTCTAAGACTATAAAAGTGCTTTTGTGAACATCACTGTTAAACAGTAAAAAGCTCAACCTTCAAAGAAATCACAGTTCCAGACTCTGAAGTTTTGTGAGTTTTTGTCTCATTTATCAACTTTTAAACTGACTGGATGACAACAACTCAACCTCTAATTAAACTGTCCAATCAGAGAACAGACATTTAGCTGCTTCAGCTCCACTCACGTCTTGAAAAAGATGATTTTTACAACTTGTACTGTACTTCACTTGTATGACCAGCAGCACAGTAGACAACTCATCCAGTGTTCTTCAACAAACACAGGACGGTCTATGAATCTATAAGCTACCTCCTGAGCTACGCAACCACTTGTGCACCGTCACTGCAGTAAACATAAAACAACAAGCCCATTCAAATCAACACCAGGCTCTTAGGAGAGAGGAGCACAGAGTGAATTTGCATAAACGATTTGAACTAACAAAGACCGGGCTTGGTTTTCACGACACAGCAGCAGTGCTGATTACGACGTGTGTCATGGGACTCGCTACACACGGGCTCCGTCCACACACGTTTGTTCTGGCTTTTTAGCTGCAACAGTGGCAGCACGGCACTTGGTCTGGAAAACACAGGTTTATAACAAAAGTCAAGCAGACTGAACGTAATCCCTGAGTGGTAGCTGCTGAACAGGTTTCAGAGCAGCAACAAAAGCAGCTTCAAGGAGCAGTAACATTTTCACAGCTAAAGCTTTCAGCAAATCTGTTTTTCTGGTTTTACACAGAGCTGGCTGACTCAAGAGACACTCAAGACAGGGCCAAACAAGTTATTGTAGTATCTACTTGCACGCCACCAACGGCAGAGTGATAATGGGTTTGCCTGTGCCTGTATGCATGTTCGTGTTTCTGTTAGCAAAATGTCTCATGAACCAGAGGGCAGATTTTAATGAAACTTTAAGAAAGTAATCACTGGATGGACCTCTACAACTGATTAACTTTTGGAATCTAGCCAATTCAAAATGGCCACCAAAGCTAATCAACATTAGCCAGCACAAAATCAGCTATAACTCAGTGAATTTCATAGATAATGAACTACAATTTGATGTGATAGTAGCCCACAGTCAAAACATACTTCAGTAATTAACAAATCATAGATATCTCAATAAAATTGCACGTAATGTTATTTTCAAGATTGGGCCCAAATGGTTACATTTCTTAACACTTTGCAGTTTAAAGCTCTGACATGAAAGGCAGCTGGTGATGCACATTCATGCTAGGCCTTAAATTACAGTGAAGTAGTCACCAGTGGCATAAACAGAAGTAGTGACTGGACTTTTCATAAAAAGGAAGTTTCTTTGCGCTGCTCCCTTCTTCAGGGGTCACCACAGTGAGTGAACTCGCATGAAACATTGTGCAATTTGCTTCACGCCAGATGCCCTTCCTGATGCACCCAGGGCTCGAACCCGCAACCTCAGGATTACAAAACCACCAAGCTACCACAACCCCGAGTAACTGGACTTTTAATGATTTGTGCATTTAAAACAGATGTTGCTTTACTTTTTAATTACAATAAAGACACAGAAGAAGTCTAACTGGCTATCACTTCCAAGCAACACTTACTGCAGTATTCGAGACATCCACACCTCACCAAGAGACGACTGTAAAACACTGGAGGCCATAACTACAGAAGATCGTACGAGAGAATCCCTAGTCGTGTTGTCAAACAGTCAACTCTCTGACTCTGAGTCTTTATGTGGATGATATACCTCCGTAGATGAAACGCCGAGAGGTCAGAGGTGAAGCAAGCGGGAACAAGGAGAGCCTTATCTTATCACATCTAGATCAGCTGGAGGCAGGGAGGGGACTGAGACACAGATCACTCCGTGAGTTATCAGTTCAAACCAAACCAGGGTGCCATAAGAGATTAGGCCTGGTGGACTGTGCTGAATCATTGTTTTAAGTGTGAACTCACAGAACTCATAGCTCCTGGACATTAAACGATGAATGTACCTTTGAGAGAACGATAAGGAGCTGACAGGAGGTCAGAGTGCAGGGTACAGGAGAAAACTCTTAGGAGCAGACTTATGGCCAAACTAAGCTAAGGGAACATCATACTGCTAATACCTTTATTTTAAACTTTTTTTAAAACTGTAAAAAAAAAAGTAATAAAAAGAGTTAACGAAAGAGAAAATTCAACCAAACAGTACGTAAAGTAAACCATGCCTGCTTCTCATGGTGGTTTGTATGAATTTGTAAAACGATGAACTCACGTGATTCTACTTTATTAAAAACACTAATAAAGCCTTGCGTGCAAAAAGTTCATTAAGCACAGTACATGAACCTGAAGATAAAAAAAGGGGAGAAACTTAAAACTACTGCTACTTCTAAACAGCATTAAAACAGAAACAAACAAAAACACTTACCTGCCGTCAGAGCTTAATGTCCAGCAGCCAGATATTCTAGCTCCTGAGTAGGCTGGTAGAGAGTTCATAACTGAAGAAAATATGTCAGATTTCCAGTGTGTGTACTCCTCAGGTTAGTGTTTTAATCCTACAAACACTGCCAACAAGTTTATGAAATATGTGATAGAGCAATATGACATTTAACAGCTCCACCCTCTGTTGCTAAACATCCAGAGAGCTGCTGAGGCTGGGGACTATAAAGGGATAACTTTGGTGAGGAAACGAAACTTAAGCTACTTAAAACAACAGTTTAGCTTTCATATTCTCCCATTTTCTCAAAAGAAGAGTGAGGACTCTGCAACTTGGTGGAGAAACGACTCAGCATGAAACTGCAGCAGCTTTTCCCTCCTCTTTCCCTGCTCCTCCCCTCGGCTCTCCAGCCAACAAACCTAAGAGGATCACTAACCCTTCAGATTATGTTCATTAGTTTGTATTAATAGCATCAGGTTAGAGCCAAACCCCACGTATCCCCCCCTACACACACACACACGCCTGTTTCTGACAGTCTGTGTCGCAATATGTGGCTGGAGGGGGTCACCAGGACCAGAAGACAGACAGACTCAAAGAAAATAGGTTTAAAAAAAAAAGACAAGAGTGGAGCGGAATAGACAAACAGAGAGCTATTATTCTCCTCTGATGTTGACTGGATACACAAAGGAGACGCCTCAGGCTGTGTTGAGGAGGTGACAGGAGGGAGAGGTGGAGAGGAGGGGGAGAGGATGACAGCAGGGAGGACGCAATGTGCTTGTACCCTGCAGAGACTCACCATGTCTCTGCCTTCCACCGAGTCTGGATGTCAGCAGCAAACACACACACACACACACAGAGAGAGAGAGAGAGAGCGAGGTCTCCTCCCTCTCTTTAATCACGCAGACGATGAGGAAAATAAACAGCACGATGAAAGCTGACACTGCTGCTCGATCAGCTGAAAGTCTGCAGAACTGCTCCGGGCTAAAGGCAGGAAACAGCCACACCCTCACACGCCTCCTGGGACGCAACTTGTGTAAACAAGCAAAACAAATCACAATGATCCATGTTCAGAGGAGGCTGATCGCCTTTTTTCAGAAAGCGTGAAACTCCAACTCTCTGCAGCGTTTTTATAGACGTCAACCTTCAACCACTCAACTTTAGAGGAGCTAAAGCAATATTTGTATTTATTTATTGAGCCGTTTTCTTCGTTCAAACAAAAAAAGGCGGGGAATAAACGAGGAATTCCTCTGACGTTGGTTGTGGGACTGTCGCTACAACTTTAAAGTGTAGTTCAAAGACAGCTGCAACACAAGACAGGAACAAGAAGCTGGAGCTGGTTGCTATGCCAAACATCCGTCTACGTCCCTGTGACTACTGAGGCGCACAGTCTGAACACAAAGTCACATTAGCAGAAATATTAAACAGAATAAATGTGCCGTGCGTTGTGGAAAACAAAACCATGTATCATAACTTCCTTTGACTCAAATAAACTGATAACATGACAAGTCATCATCAGACAGCTCATCACGAGCATGAAGTGGAAACAAGTCAACAAATGGGTGAAAAATAAGCAACATTCATACAATAAATCGGTCAGAAGGAGATATTTTTGCATACAACTATGACTTTGAGCTAAAAGTTGGTGTGGTAACAGTTGAGGGTCATCCTCAGTACATCCTCTGAGCTTACTGATTATGCACATTAGTGATTAATGTCATTTTACAAGGTTTGACCAAAATGGCTATAACTCTGTTCCTTCTCAGCATCACATAACCTTAGTTTAAAGCTCTGGTATAACAGGAAATATGTAGCCCTTCAAGGAATTATACGTCTTTAGTTTATTGTTTTTCTGTTAAATGAAAGTCACGGACTAAAAAAGATTAGTTGAAATATTTCCATGACTATTTATTTTTATTTAACCTTTATTTATATAGGTAGTCTCACTGAGTCACAAGGACTCATTTTCAAGGGAGACCTGTTTGGGAGAAGATGGTGGGGGGTTAAGGGCCTTGCTCAAGGGCCCAGGGTGGGGCAGGTGAGGGTGGAGGCAGGTGTGGGTGTTTCACCATTTCCATCCACATTTCTATGTTGCTGTTCCAGGGGGTCGAACTGGCAACCCTCTGCGCCACCACTCCCCTTTCGTATTCAGCTGTATAACGTCAACAGAGTATTGCCAGGTCGAAGAATAATCCCATGAGTGTAACCTTCTTGTTTGTGACTTTTAGAGCAGTATCAGGGAAATGATGAGCAGAATAATGCAGCAGCGCCCTCTTGTGGTTAAGTTTGATTCCAGGCTTTTTCAGGATGGTGTGATGCAGTCTATTCTGAGGCTAATGACACGTGCATATCTATTTAATTACATTAATACTCACCTAAATAAACGTTCATTTATTCTGCGACCTTCTACATTCAGTGTGTGGTAGACTTTTGTCATTTAACTCGTGTTGTATTTTCCTCCACGCTAAAATGGCAAGTTTACCTGAGAACTGAGACGAGTAAATGCTTTTTATCTATCACTTTCTAAACTTTACATGGACATATTCCCAACATTTGTTCTTGTCTCTTGTGACCAATAAAGTTATGCATGCCTTCTCTAATGTAACATGTGCGAGTTTGCATGATGCCATTTGTTTAAACTAATAATTGTATAGTTGCTTTAATCAAGTGTCACTTTAAGCAAGGCGGTGGTGAGTCGCTTTCCCGGAGATGCTTATCTACCGGTAAGAAATGAAAAAATGGGGCATTGTCTTAAAAATATCTATGTAGATATTTATATATTAGCCTTCCATCATTTTTCCACAATGAAACTCCAAGCTAAAAGTGGCCATACCTGTTAGAAACAGGGCAAGTTTTGTCCTCGTTGTCCATTTTAGCGAGCTTTTCCTCCACGCTAACGGCGGACATAGCCACTCTGTTGACAATCATGGAGCGTCGAGTCAGCGCCGAGGCATCATGGGACGTGTAGGCGTTTTGAATTCGCCACGTAAACGCAAAAGAGAGCAAGGATGCAAATGGACTACAAGTCCTACAATGCACCCGTTTCCTTTACAGTTAAACGCACGAACAAGTGCAGCACGAAAATGAAACGGGGCCCTTCCCAAATCTGGTAATGGGCTGACGTTGACTAACCCACGTGTAGCTCCGTAAACCATTTTTAGCTACTTACTATATATATATTTAAATTTATTATTTTTTCTTTAATAAAGATATTCCTCTGCATTAAGCTACATTGTATGAAGTACCTTAACAAGGGTTCATAGACATGGTATCAAAGCTCAAGGAGCATTATAAAAACTCAAAAATACCTAAACTTTATCATCATTGCAGAATGTAGTTTCCTTGAAGTTTTTTTTTTTTTCATTTTCTTAAATATGTACGTTTTGTGTTTGGGAAGTAAATTTGACACACAGTAAAGTGCATAAAAAACAAACACTTGGTGTGACTTATGCTGCCACACCAACATAAACTTTTAGAATGCTTACATTTCTTTAACAAAAGGTTGATTTTCATATCAGAAACTTAATTTATTCTTAATAATAATAATAATAATTACTTATTCTTACAATACTGTTGACACAGTCTGTGACATTGCTGAAAACTAAAATGAATGACACACGTTTAGTCAACAAACCTTTATTAATTAGTTCAGGGATACTAATGCACAGGTAATACAACAAGGCCGGGAGAAAAGTGTAACAGTTCAGACACAAAGGAGGTGTTAATTCCTCCAGTGTTAGGTACTATACAGCTTCATATCAGATATGGAAATCTTTAATACATAATTAGTCTCATTTCACCTGTTACCTTTGTGTCATAAACAGTCAGGAGCTGTAATATCATCTCATAAAACTCAAATGTCTCATTGCAACAGCCCCACAATGGAGCCAAATGCTAGATTCTGCTTTTCAAGTAGGTAGCATAAAAAAGAACCACTGTTGTCCAAATAAAAAGATAAACATCAGGAGCCAAGAGAATTTTGGAGGAGAAACCTTGATTTTGGATATAACATTGCTGACAGAGGGAAGACACTTGAGCCTCCTGTTTCCGCAGGTACAAAAGTCACACCACATACAGTCCAGGTAACTAGAAAGCTCCAACAACACTCCTATTTCAAGCCTATTTTATGTTATAGTAAGTGCACTAATACAAAAACAAACACACAAACATAAGCCTTGTTGCCCCATATTCAATAGATAATAATAAAGGACTCTCTCAACATGTTTGCCATCCTGTACTGAAAAAGCTCACTTTATGTGCATCGTTAAAATGGATAAAATAACAGTGTGCGCCAACACATAGGCCTACAAGGTTCTTTGTGGTCTACAACTTTTTTTTTCTCCATTATTTAGTATTATATTTTGTAAAAAGCAATTTCAAAGCAAACAAAAGTAGGGGGAGAGAAAACAGCCTTACAGCTCTGATGAGACACTGATATCAAAATATTAGCAAGCCAACAAAATCAGCTAAATATGGTGTATTGCTGTACTTTCTAAACATAATGCAGTTTGCTCTCACTGTGTGTTCCATGTCATAGGAAGACAAATCGTAAAGGGTGTGATGACATATAAAATATACACTGTTAAAAGCAGTGCTAAACTAGCATATTGCAACACCGATGCTTGTCAGGGAAACACAGTCAATGTGATGCCGTTTATGAAACAAGAAACAAGCAGCAGACAAACTGAATTTTGTGCCACAGCGTAACACTTGGAGTGCTACCTTTACTGACATCCAGTCATTACAAAGGTGCTAACTGTTCAAAACACACACGCACACACACACACAAAGTCCAGACAACTCGTATTAAAAACATCCACACCAGTCAGTGCTCCTCCTGCTCTCCATCTGAACCTTGATATCCGATAAAGGTCCACCCCACTAACAGAAATAAGAATAAACTCCTTTGTCTGACTGGTAATGGAGGAATTCAGACTCAGATTCTTTACACTGTTAAAATGTCAGCGTTGGCCTGAAACCACCTGGCGCCCATTTTAACTCCTTCAAACTGTTTCGCCAACATAAGTGCTAAATTTTTTTAACAATGACGTTGACATTTTGGCGGAAACTACTCCAACTTGCCAGTGAGAAGGTCACAAGTGGATGGATTAGTAGACTGAAGCGAGTTGTTTCAGGTCATTAAGGTAAAGTGGCAAGTAAAAGCACCCTTATTATCTCACCAAAATATACTCACGTCACAATTTTAAAACTATCAAATTGCTATCTAGGTAATACACACAGTAGAATATAAAATAGATTCACAATCTGTCTTTTTTCCCCCTCTCTTTTAAAGCAAGCAAGTCATTATTTTATAGACAAACTGCACATACAAATCAACTTTATTATGGAGAATCCATTAGCTGAAGTTTTTTAATATAACTGTGGACTCAAGAATCTACTTTAAACACATAAAAGTGAAAATATTCTCTCCTCTTAAGTATGTTTTTTTTCTGTAACAAATCTGAAGCTCATCTAACATGAGTGGTAGAGCAATTTTAAATGTCTTCAAGACCAGTTATGGCTTTCTGGGGTAAATTATAGTCTTACAGTCACGTTTGAATCTTTACAAAATAAGCTGTTTTCTAACAACTTTTATATGAGGGTAATATTCCTGCTCCTGTACCAAACAGCCACTAGGTTAGATTGAATAGTCCTAGAGTGCAAAACGACAACGAGAGGAGCAAGAAGGGTAAAGGGTTAAAGTGCAAGGCAATAACTTTAAGCTTCCAGAAATTTATTTATTTACATTATTTTCTGAGAATCTAAATTTGATTTATATTAAATAAAAGATCATTATCCTCAACCTTTCTATAAAAAGATAACTTTTTAATTCTCTCCTCAGCTTTGATTCAAGGTAAAGCAGGAGCTTCTTTAAAATAGTGACATTTTCTCATTTGATTGTGCTGCAATGGTGCAACAACCTTCACACAAAATTCTTCCTTCTGTCAAATAGTTAGCTTTGTTTAGCTATAATGCTTCAACATCTTTGTTTTTAAACCAGTCTCACTTAAATATTATCGTATCCAACTTGAATCTTACAGAAGAAAGTCTCAGCTAACCCCTTATAGGACTGTAATTGTGTAAAGGAAACTGTGTGAATACTGTTTTAAACACGTTTCCCTGGCTGTTAAAGCAGACACCTTTCATCAAACCAATCACTGAAAGGACAGCAGTGGGAGAAATATGAAACATGATGAACAACTGACCGACAATTAGCTTATATGACATCAGCTTACAATGAAAAAACGTAAAAAGTAAACAAAAACAAACAAATAATTCAGTGGACATTGCACTACAACACACTCTCCACTATTCTTTGCTTGTGAGCTGGTTGGATGGACTCGGTTTAAAAATGACAGATGGCAACATTGCTTTGAGTATATAGATATATAGATATAGATACTGTTTATGTACACCCTACAATATATCTGTGGAAAAAAACATGAGAAAACATTAGCTAATATAAAATGACTTCACCATGCTAATAACATTTCCTTTTTCAAACCTCTTAGCACATTTTTGAACCATTCAGGGAAAACTACTCTGTTTATCTGGAGTACTACTGCTGCTTAAAGCCTCGTGTCTGTGTTAGTCTGGTTCTGATCGTTGAGTACTACAGACTACACTGCTGTGAGTACACAAACTGAAACGTGTGCCTTTAAAAGGAGACAAAAGTGGAATGGAGAAATAAAACACTACTGCTGGAATTATGGTGTTTACCAGTGCACACATAAGCTCTAGGGTACCAAACCAAGACTTAAAGGATGCGTTCAATCTTTTACTTCTTGGTGGATTCAGCTTTCTTCTCAGCGTCAAGTTCTTGTTTTAGTTAGAAAGGTCTTTTTTTTTATCTTCCCGGCAAACCGTAAGTACAGTAAGTTTCCTCTCTGGCACCAGGGTGGATAAAAGAAGTGCTACTCCGGCAAAAAGATTTTCTTGGGTTTGCTTCGTCTGGTGGCGGAGGGGACAGGCTCTCTGTTCTGGACCGGACTTTCATTGTCCGTCGGATGGGAAACCAAGGCTGGGGGCTGTGCTGAGCCCGAGGGTGGGGTCACGAATGGTGGGGTTGAGTTCAGTGTGGTGGTGAGGGTTTCTGTATTTGTTGGAAGAGGCTCATCCACGAGGGGGTGCTCTTTAGGTTTGCGGCCCCTCTTCTTACCAGTGGTGGCACCGTTCCTCACCTCTGCTTTAATCCCATCGTTTTCCGGGACTTTACTCTTGTTACCAGACATCATCTGACTTGTTGCAGCACGAAACCAGTTCTGATTTAACAAAAATAAAAAAATAAAAAATAAAGATCCATAAATACATTCCAACAGATGCATACAACAAAGTGCATTATTTCTCCATTAAATGAGTCTTTGTGTTTAAACAGAATTCAGCAGAAAAAAATAACACGGCAGTAACAAGACATTAGAAAATATTTTTATAGTGGGCTACATTATAATTCAGAGTCAGACAAATTATTTAGGAGAAAAGTTTTGGAATTGGAAAAATGTGTACACATTTCACAACAAAACTAATGTATTCTTTGTACAAGACAGACAAGGAGAATAAAAAATTAGCTTAAAAAGTATTATTTCCCTTTTTTTTCTAGATTTTAATAATTTCTTTACTAAACTCAAAAGTAACTAACATGACAAAAAAACAGAGCTACTTTTTATGCAGTAATGTAAATAGATGCAGTTTAACTTGTGTTTTAAAGAGATCAGTAAATCCTTTTAGGTTTAGACAAAAACCCCAGAAGAACCAGGATCCTCATAAAAACACTCAGCTGCCACATTTGTTGTCTGTCAGAACAATGAAAAACACAGCTTGACTGAAACATGAATGTCTGCCTGAAGTTTCACACTGATGGTGACCCACCTGTGAGTGTGTCTTACTGATGTGATACTTAACACCACTCTCTGAGTTAAACTCCTTCTGACAGATCAGACACGTGTACTTTCCCATTTCACCTCCACCCTACAAAACACAATACATTATTCCTCACAAATCATATTTTCATTTATATAAATGTTTTTACAAACATACACAGATACTATGATTTATGTATTTATTCTATTTACAATGACGTCTGATCTAGAAAATTGACAAATGATTTACTTTTTTACTATGTATTTTTGTGTTGCTTTATTTTATATTACATTAATACAGTGCTAGCATGTTTCAAAGGAAGAACACTTCACAGACCTCAACATTTGACTGGCAAATGACTTCAGGTTTAAAATATAGATTTAATTTCAGCCTGTGTGTATTTTTACAAGTTATGCAATACAACTAGAGATACATAGATGTAATCAGGTTGATGGATTTGCTGTAAATCCAGATTTTATTTTATTTTTTACCTGGCTGCAGTTGGCAAGGTGGGCTTTTAATCCAGACACACTGGAATAAACGGCTTCACAGTTCTGAGAGAAAGTGAAATAAACAGCAAGTTCATACTGGATCCCTACTACAGCTGTAAACTTTGTGCTCCATGTAAAGGCAAATCCATGAATCATTTTAATTAAAGTGAATTTTGTGTTTAAGAGTTTGTTCTTACTGAGTTTGTGCAGCAGATGAAGCCTCTCTCCTTGACTTGATTTTTCCAGGCCTCTAGTAGCTCTGGACTGAAGTTGGGGAGACCAGGACGAGTGTAGTTTAACTGCACAAAGGAAAGACTTTTTATTTACAGAGTTAGCGACATTGCAGGTTAACTGACTTTGAAAAGGAAACTTAGCTAAGATGCTTGTTGTTGTGAAATTTAGGTCTTCCTGCAGTTCTAAATACAGAATGCATCAACCTTTCTACTGCATCCACTCAGTGTACTCACCCTCTTGCTGTCAGGCACCAGGTCGTCCTTGATGCGTCGCTTGGTGCCCCAGTCTTTGGCGAGCTCGTCCTCTGCTATCTCCTGCAGGTGGAACACTGCCACCTGAGCTGACTGCCGCCTCACTCTACCACTGGGAGTCCTTTCAAAGTCCTCCTCCTGGCTCTTTATTTGTGCCACTTTTTCTTTCTCTTGTTCTCTCTCTCTCTCCTTTTCCAGCTCCTTCTCTTTGGACTGGTTGGACGATACTTTTTCCTGCCAATCCCTCCTCTCAGGTGGGTTTTGCTCCTTGTTCTTGCCTCCTGGTGCAGACTCCTCAGAGACTGCCTGAAAAAGCAGCAGGAGATCTTATTGAGTAAAAAAAGAAATAACAGTAAATGTCTGATGAGTAAAACCTAGAACAACTTACTTCTAAACTGCATCCTTTAGTTAACTATAACTAGTCCTTTTAATAATATACTAACCCTCTCTTTGCCAGTATTGTTGTTGGTGTCAGTGACATCCTTGTAGTTTTTGGTGGTTGTAGAGGGGGTGATGGTTGGGGAGTGTTCAGTGCGTACGTGGTAGTCTCGGCCTGCCTTGGAGCGATAGTTTTTTCCACAGTGCTGGCACAGAAACACAGGCTTCTCATCGTCAGAGAACTCTCTTCCACAACGCTGCTGGTGATACTGGTAGCCTATCAGACTGGAAAAATGGGCTGAACAGCCCTGTGTATATGTGTGTGTGCATGTTTGCACACAAAATGGTTTGTAAGATGGTTTGACAACAGTGACAGAGATGAGACAGAATGTAAACTGAGTTAGTAGAATAAAGTTTAATGGAAAAATATTTTCTGGTTGAGGATGTAAAGATGCTCATTTTTTTAGTGTGCAAATGAGTCACAATAAAGAATTTATTTTTCACAGCTCATTTAGAGTCTACTTTTTGCTTTCTAGTGTGTAATGGAAACAGAACGTTGATGAAATTTTAGCTAAGATGTCAAGAACAAGGGATAAAGAATCAAAAGAAGAAAGGTAGAAGGTGGACATAAAATTGGGAGTCTGAGAGCGATGGAAAAAAAATCTAAACTGGCAGATGTAAATTGAAACATGGTAAATGTAAAAAAAAAAGGCAAGTTAACAAAATGGGAATAAAGGATGCAAGAAAGCAAAAGTAGCAAAGAATGAGAGGCAGGAAAAGAGAACATGACAGGGGAAGAAATAAGAAGCACATACCTCACTAGGACACTTGATTCGTCCCATCTGTTTGAGCACTCGGAGCAGCCGTTCTCTCTCCTTGTGTTCGTTGCCCGTCTGGCCTTCGCTCCCTGAGGGCTGAGGGGGAACAAACACACCGTCGCATAAGCACCTTCTACAATAACGCCACCCCACTCCTGAGCAACTTTAAAAAAGGCAATAAAAACGTGTTTTCTATCACTTGTGTTCACATTGTGCCACTATCACTACATGATTTCATGGTGAGCCTGTTACTCAAGGCGTGTTTATCACAACTGAGTGTCGCCGGGTGTCAAACCCAGCCAAGACCAGAACAACAGATGGTGGGGTGGCCAGGGAGGAGAAAAAAACTGCAAGGCACAGGAGAGAGTGTGGACTTACAGAGGCATCCCAGAGGAGTAAACCGCACATTTACTCATGTGTTAATGCACAGAAATGGAGGCTGCTCAGTTCTGCAGCAGCTAAAAGCTAAAGAGGCGATACTTGTGTAGCACCACACTAGATATCACCATCAGACTAAGCTCGTGAGTTACACTGACAGGGAAGAAAATACTAAAACTGCATCAGCATGTATTATTAAACTCCCGAACAGACAGATAGCAAGAGAGTGCATAGCATAACAGATGTATCAAGGTCATCCTCACTGGATTTGTCTGTCTACCTGCTGTTTTTTTCCCACAGTGCACAGGGACTTAGCTATGTCTAAAGACACACAACACCAGTAACCAAGGGTCTATGCCAAGTTCATAATGTACACAAATTAAGCTACACATCAGTGGTAGTATGTGACCAGATTATATACACCACTTTTTCCAGAAACAAGAAAAAGTAAGTCAAATGTTTGTACAAAAACACCAACATTACAATAGTGTGAACTGGTGACTAATGTGAGTATATGTACAGTAAAACAGCTTAGAAGAAGTACAGCTCAAAGCAAAGTCTGGCAGGGCAAGAGGACAAAACATGGTGGGAAAATTTTTTATGTGTACATAAAAACAAGGCAAGCTGACAAGTCAAACCAGGACCAACACGTGACTGCCAAGGGTCATCAACAAAATTCAACAGACTTTGCTGTGGATGCCAAGTCTGCATAGACAGTATCATAGATAACATTTGTGGAAAAATCTTTAAAGGAGAGCTTGTACTGTCCTCTCAGTGAGGTATTCAGATTCAAAAGCGTTAGCTTGGCACCTTTAAGGTTTGTTTCCGTCTAATGTTTTATGGTGAACTGTTATAGCCTAAGCTGTTAGCATGGTTTAACCCCGCTGCTAGCGCTAGTGAGGGACAACTAACGTGTCATGATGAGCTAAATTCCCATCTCTCACCATGGCTATGGCACCTACCCCCAACAAAGGTCAGGACCTAACGCCAAGGAGGCTGTATCCCGCCTGTGCCCTGCGTCATGCAGGGACTCCATCTCGGGCAGGGACCTATCCAATTTGCATAGCATGATTGGGCTGGTGGACGGAGGGGAATTTGAAACTGGTCCGGAGGAGGCAGATGATGATGCTAACTTCGACCTACTCGACGTGGAGGACACGGAGGAGGATGAGTCCACTTTCCTGGCTCCACACTCGAGGCCGCCCAGTGGTGCTGGGGCAACACCTCTGGTGGAAAGTAGGGCTGAATGATTTTGGAAAATATTCTAATTGTGATTTTTTTTTTTTAAACCTCAATATTGTGATTGTGATTTAATATGCAATTATTTTTCAATGTCTTCTTCTCATGTATTTTTCAACAAACAAAAGCAATAAATCAATCTGTTTCATAAAAAAAACCCTCCATTGTTTTCAGCTCTGCTACAACTCTGTTTCTGCATTTTTTGTATAGCTCCAGGATAGTAAACTTGGCTAAAATGTGCACGTGAGGGCATCTTGTACCGCTTATCCATTGTGTTTACCAAAGCCATAAACCCAGGCTTGGTCACTATATTAATGGGCATTACATTATGTATTTCACTATGAACTCCGTTATTACTCGAGTTATTTCTGCGTGCCATTTTGAATTATGTTCAAATGGAGTAATACATTTGAACAGTTCAGTCAGTGATCCCTGTCGGCTGGTACTTTGCTTACTTGAAGTTGAAACACTGGTTGTTGGAATTCTAGCCATGCAATGATTGTAAATGACTTTGTGGTGTTTTTTCAAGTGTTGATAAAGATTTGTGGTGTTACCTCAAGAGGTAGCAACAGCAGCAAGGCAGGTTCTGCACAATACATGTCGTTGCGCAGTGTTTTATATTTTATAGCAAAAATAATTCCAAACAACGGACATGCTGCCCCTCTTTGGTACCAAACTTTCAGATGTATCAACTTCTGTCAAGCCTGACGCCATTGTGCAACCAGTTAAAGTGCAGTGTTGACTTCTCCCGCTCCCTGCTCTGCTTTGCTCTGCTCACTCGCAAGTCACGTAACCAGATCATGTGACCAGTCAAATTGCAGCCTTTGCAATTAGAAAATCTCATTTTAGCATATAGCAATATTATTGCAAATGCAATTAATTGTTCAGCCCTAGTGGAAAGTGACCTGTATGATATCTGCAGAAGGGAGGTTTCAAAATTGAGTACTCCCTGGCCTGCAACTCAGGATGCAGAAGGTGCAGAACGAGATCTGTATGATGGTAAGAGGCTCCCAACATCTTTTACTCCAATCAAATAGCTTTTAATAGTTGTCCCTGTTTGTAGAAGGGAAATAAGCTGTCACTGGTCAAGCACCTTTTAGGAGCAGGCTTCCCACCAAGGGCTGCTCCAAGCTGGAAATACAGGGGATAGATGAGCTGGGGCTGACCAAACCCAAAGCAGTGGAGCCCTCAGTGGCATACGACCTCAACACCAATTGCATGTTGGTTTCAGTGTCTACCAACATTTCTCTCCCAGCTAAATGTGTTCTAGAATTGCGCCGCTCAAGGTGGCTGCATGTTGGAGTAGCTCTGTTACTTTCATTCTAAGATTTTGCTTTTGGAAACTTTAATTCCTGTTTTTCTAGATGTAAATCGCATGTTTTGGATGATTGTTTCCTCTGGTATCGAATGCTGTGCAGCTGGAAGGATTTTTACAGAAAATTAGTCTTTGTTACAGGTGTAGGGGTACAGAGCTTCTGATTGGTCTGAAAGCCCATTCTACTGGGAGCACAGCCATAGCAGGGGCCCTGTTTCGAGGGATGTTTGTCCAGGATATTTGTGCTAAAGCTAGATAGGCCACACCGCACACATTTGTGCACTTTTACAGGCTGAATGTGGCTCAGCCATCCCTAGCTCAAACAATATTGGATGCTGGAACTTCTGAGCCCTCTTAGTCAGGGTTCAAGATAGCTGTTGGCTTCAGGGCTCTCATGCAATACAGGAATGGGGTATATCTCAAGGAATGGGGTATATCTCATATAATGAAATGCCAAACGAAGTCAGAAAAATAACATTAGGTTACTTAATATAACCCTGGTTCTTTGATAACAGAATGAGGTGTTTTACCAACACTTCCTTCCTTGCATGAACACAGAAAGAAATCGTCCTAGAATGACTAAGAGCACGGCCCAACCGTCGGTCTCAGACAGATGTGATGTCATTGGAGCTTCCATAGTTGTTCATGCTGGACCATTTCCCACATTGAAACACGGCACTCTGTTATCAAAGAACAAGTGTTACGTTAAGTAACCTATCGTTTTTTTTCTGCAGCCTCCTGGAAAGTTTTCACAATCTGCTGATAGGCAGATGCTTGTGATATAATTATTAAAGACCTCTCGTGTCAAAATGTTACTACATGTTAGATATATTAAAAAAATTACTTTACTAAGAAGCATCTTCTTCCTCTTAATCTTTAAATTATTTTTAACTTCTTAAAATGTTGCAAAAAATAATATGGGACAATCTGAACCTTTAAATTAAGTACTCTTTCTTTAGTCAGCATCTACTTGAGCTTGAATACATACATATAAGGCAACAAATCCTAATTAATATTAACTTTATTTTCCAAATCGTCACTGCTCTTAAAAATATAGCCGTAACCAAAGTATAAACTTTGTTCTAAAACCTACCAAAACCTCTGAGAACCTTATTTTTACCACACAGTTCAAACTTCAGTGTTTCCCTTACCATTGTACAAGTGGGGCGCCCCGCCCCATCAACAGAACCAAGCGCCACGTCTACCAAACCGCGCAGCCACGCACCCCCCCCCCCCCCCCCCGTGCCCAACAATCTGTCGGCACAACATAATGCTAAGCTAGTGGCTCGCAATACAGGTGTGTTAGCTAAAAAGCTAAACCCCGGCCCCACACTTGAAAATTGTCAGTAGATGTGTCTCTATCTACCCCCCACCCCACACACCCACAAACTGTCAGTACAAACAGCGAGCGGCCGCATCTCTGCCCCCTCCCCCCCCCCCCCCCAAAAAAAAAAACTGTCAGTACAAACAGCACGCGGCTGTGTCTGTGTACACCCCCCCCACCCACCCCCAAAAAAACAACAAAAAACGGTGCGCTGCGCCGCTCAGGACGTGTTTCTGTCCATCCCCCTCCCCTTCGACAAAAATCACGGACGAGATGAGCACCCCACCATGGCACGTTATCAAGGGGAAACACTGCACTTTGAGGCCTTTTGCGCTGCTAAATGGGAACAATGCCAGCAATGGCTCAGTATTAAACAGTCTTAATGTTACTGGCAAAGATGACACAATAATTTACTTACCACTATTAAACTGGTAGGCATTACACAACCACACAAACATACTGTACATATTCATGAGAAGCGGTATTAGGTCCTAAAAGCCTGTGTGCTCACACAGAAACACAAATGCACATGCTAAAAGAAACAAAGTTTATTGTCTGTGAGCTTTTATGATACCTTCACAAACAGGCAGCTATGAATTATTCAACTTCACATCATTATTCTAACGCAAAACAGTCATGATAATACTGTATCTTAATGAAGCTTTCAGATGTCAGAATTAAAATGGCTCCAGAAGGAAACAACAGTATCAAATACAAGAATGAAAGTGAAAATACAAATGCAAGAAAACCGTCCTGAAATTTATGACAGTTTGTAAACTAACGGATTAATTTGTGAAATGTATTTTTAATAATTTGTCTGTAAATAGATAAACATGCAAACTCAATGTCCAATAGATCACAAAATTAAACCAGTAGCTCTCTAAAAACCCATAGCGCTTTTCCAAGAACTCAAGACAAATCAATATGAAATAAAATTGAATCAAAATAAATTCAATCAACTTTAGTTATAAAGCACATTTACTTTGTAAAACAACCAGAGTAGAGCAACAAAAACAACAGTCATAAAAACATTATAAAAGGTCTGTCCATTTTGGTGTAATATGTTATTGTTATTAGAAGTACAGGTGTACCTTGGTGCTGTGTTCAGCCATGGTGTGGTAGTTGAGGCCAGCCTTGGACCTGAACTGTTTCTGGCACTGCTGGCACTTTAGAGCATCCTGGAGCTGTGGGGGTTGAAGGTTACACAGAGTATCAAATAACTTTTCTTTGAGTCAAAAACTGACAAATTTCACTTTACTCAAAGTTAGGCCCATCAATTTATATTATAACCTAACCTCTTGTTAACTGTACAACAATTCTGGTCTATAAAAGTGTGCAATGTACATTAAGAATCAAAGTGAACATGAAACAAAAAACATTAGTGCCCTATGTCTTAGATTTCCCCCCATCAGTCAGTATTGATTTGAAGACAGGTGCTATGATGGTGAATGACCCTGGGGTAATGTGGTAATTCTGTCATTGCTCAATGGCAGACTCAGTTTAATCGAGTTAGACAGACCTGTGTGCTGAGGAGCTGTTACAGCAGCTGCAGAAACACATCTCTCTGAGGATCAGCCTACTGAACCATTCTATCTGATTCATCCACTGGGAGAGCTCCATTTAATGTAGCTGGGTAACATTTTTCATGCTTCACTTGTACTTCATTTATTACTTCTGCTGACCGCAATCTACTGGAAGTGCGAGTCAAACACACTGTTCACAGAGGTATACAATTTCCCTCCCTTTGGCCTCTTTCAGCTGGTATTAGCTTTCAGATCAAAAACAATGAATAAGGATATTGCAACAAAAACTGGTTGAGGTTACTGTCTGGGTTGAACACACCGACTGATGTTATTTATATCTCTTCAATCAGTATATTTACTGTAAGGACTATCAGGACACTACACAATTGGCTTTCCTAAGCAATGTATCTTAGAAGCTTCCAATTAGGAACAGAAATCAAAGTGTTGAAGTTGAAAACTGCAAATGTTACCGAGGTATTATGATTATCAGTGGTTTTGTCACAGTGACACAGAAAAAACTGCTTGGAGCCACAATTTTTATAATTGTTATGAAAACATGTTCAATTGTGAAGATAATGTCTGTTACGTGCATGATTTTGTGTCCTTAAAGAAAATGAAAAATTATAAGCATGATTGCTACTACTCTCTTGAAGTGAGACCCAGTGAGAATGTCCAAACCAAGTGACATTTGAACTTTGTTAACAAATAAATAAATCTCTAGAATGTTCATTTTTGAATACTTTTTGTATATATGAAGCAGAAAACCTCTATAAAAACTTTGTGCCTGGAGAAGTTTATATATAAAAATGACTGTTAACATCATAACATGCTTGTCTTTATCTTGTTTTTAGCTAGAAAATTTTCATGAGTAGAAAAAAGAAGAAAGAGAAAACTTGTACTGGGGTGTTTATCATCATACCATATTAACTTCAAAATATAAATATATATTTTGGTTCCATTGTTTGCTTTACCAGAAGAAGTGCGACGTCACATTCATTCCACCCCCAGTCTCGATCCTGCACTGACCTGTTGGCAGATCTCCATGTGTTTCTTGAGGCCATGAATTGTTTTTCTTGTGACGATGGAGCAGGTTGGACACACCACTTCTCCTCGCTCTAAGATTGCTCGCTGCCACTGAGTGTCAGAAACACCACCTAGACAAAAAAATAACAAAGACTATTACCCTCTTGTTTAGATATGCCCACTTATTGAATGAATTTTACCAGACTCAAATAAACATGCAAAGCAAAGAAAAATGTCTAGTTTTAGAAATGGAACAAAGTCAGGTCACAAAAAACATCAACTAAAGATAGGTTTAATAGTTGCACTAATATCAGCCGTTTTTACTCATAACATTTTATTTAAAAATGTTCTTTAAACCCTAAAATTTAAGGACAGTAATTCAGAAAATGAAACATTTAAGGTGTTCACCAGTGTTTGCTGTGGCTGACTCCTTTTTGGACAACTGACTTGATGTAGGTCTTCTCTGAGGATCTTCACTGAAACCACATCCCTCTGGTCTTTTAACACGACCTGCCTTCAGCTTCTCCTCCACCTTATTCATGCCTAAAATATATGATATGTTTTTTAAAAAAGTGCCTTTCTGTATATTGGATCAATGACAGGAGGGCTGCAAGAGAGCAGTGAGTCCTGCAAACTGCAGAAGATTTTATTTTTACAAGTGATATAGCCTGAATATGCTATATGAGTCACTGAACATTTTCGGCATATCAATGAGACACAGACGGAAAGAGGTTGGTAAATCTGTGGATGTGTGATTTGTGCTTGGCATGTGAGTCACTGATTCATTTAGTCAGAAATGAAGCATCTCAGCAGTTGCCACATTAGCGCTGTTAAAAGACTAGCTCCATTGATCAGTGGAAATAGAGCACTCACAGCCGCACACAGAACTAATCACATAATACAATTCTTTTGAATAGAAAACCAGCACGACATGGCATAGAAACAGTGATATGCTGGTTCTTCCAATAATTTTATTAAAAAAATCAACAAAGAATTCCTGAGGTCTGCTGTAATCACTGCTAAAAACAGCTGAACAAAGAAACAATTCTGTTTGTTTTATTTTTTTATTTAAGATCCATGAGATTATGAAATATTAAAGCAGTTTTGTTTTAAACAAAAGATTATTTTGGTTTAATGGAAAATGCATACCTTTCAATCCAAATGTTCCTGATATGGACGGCTGCTCTCCGGTGAATTTCTTAGGAGTTTTTTGTTTCCGCCCTTGCCCAGAAAAACAGGAGGAAGGGGTGGGTTTATATGCTATATGCAACTTATGCTCCCTGCAGAAGCATTTATTTTGTAGTCTGTTACAAAAAAAACAAACTTGCTGTAATCTTACTGTGCTTCATTCGCTCTGGGTCTTCATCATGAAAAGAGGGAAGGCTGCTCCCCTCGCTTTCACTTCCTCCTGCATCGGATGATGTGCTTTGGGACTGTGACTGTTGCTGAACTGGCTGGGACTGATGAATCTGCTGTGAAGGCTGGCTTTGGATGTGTCTCCTCTCGTTTTTCTGGTGGGCCAGTTCTCCATTCTGAGAGGGTGTAGACACCTCGTGAGTCTTTTTCACTTTGAAGAACACCGGAGAGGGAGGACTGTTCTCCATGGGCCTGAATTCACAGACAGGACAGTTTGGGACTTTCAGCATAATATTAAAAAAACACCATAAGTTTGTTTACAGCAGGTGAAAATGTAAGCTCCAAGTGCTGGTCACCTTTTCTTTGTGTTGAATTTGACAGGAATCGAATGAAGTTTAGCATGCTCTCCCTTGGGTTCCTTACTAACTTTGTCGGGATGATTCCACAACTTGTGCTTTTCCAGCCGTACTTTTGTTGCAAACATTGCTTCACAGTAAGGACAGCCATGACTCAGCTTCTCAGCTACAGTGGGCTGAATACAAACACAAGAAGAACGGAAATATAATGTATACAGATATGTGGAAGCTTTATATATTCTCTTGAATTGGTATGAACTGCTCCGGCTACAGATAGAGACTGGAGGAGTTACCTTATGCCTCAGCTGTGATCCACTTTTAAATTCTACTCTGAAGCATAAAGGTAGAAATAGCTATACAGTAGTCCTCGCTACTTCGTGGTTTGACTTTCGTGGACTCGCTCTATTGTGTTTTTTCAAAGTAAGATTAAACATGAGGAGAAAATTTTTTTTTGTACAGGACACATGATTGTCAACTTTAATAGTACTCACGTGATTGGAACAGTACTGTACAGTAAAAAGTTAACAAAATAATAAAATACTTCAGACAGGCATCATCATTTTGTAGTTTTCTGTCAATAAGCCTATACTGTATCCCTGCTCATAATTACTACATTTTCAGAAGCCAACAGTGCCACACCCAGAAGCCCTGTTTCCTTCTGCCAAAATATTGGAGGGAAAGTTTTGATCTGATCGGAAAAAGTTTGGCACTTATTACAGTGACTTCGGCGTCCAACGGATGCAAAGAGCCACACAGAACCCACCGAAACGAACCAGAACCAGAACCAGAACCAGACCTCCAGGTGAATCTTGAGAGCTGGTAGCTGGCCCACAAGGACTTCCGAGCAGGATGCGCACTGTCCAAGGTCCGGTGCTCCATCCGGAGCTCACCTGAACTTTTTTCATCTCTTTCAACCGGCCCATGAGGACCTCCGAGTGGGGACGTGATGGTAAGTAAAATTTAGTAGCTACATATACAGTACTGGATGTATGTTGTTAAAATAACATAGGTTTTGCAAGTTTGTGGGAAGGGTGTCTAAAGCCTTAAAATATATATAATACTAAAATAAATATAACATTGCTGTGGATTTTCACT